CTGAATGTCAGAAACACCGAGATCTGCAGCTCAGAAGCCTTGAACTTTCAGACCGTAAGAGCCTTAATGCCTGGGAACTGAACACTGGGTTATAACTTGGAAAATGTCAGAAAAGGATGAATTGGGATTCCTTGTAATGCAGGTAGTGAAGAAGCATGTCCAAGAGTGACATACAAAGCTGCAGGGCAAATAGAGCCATCCACATGAAGTCATTGCCAGCTGCTTCACAAAGAGATGCTCGTACCTGCTGTAATGGAAGTCACAGGTCCAGCAATTCGAAATGCCAGCCACAGGAGATGGAAAAAGGAATTTAAAAAAAAAATTAAACACCCTCTGGAAACTACTGCAAGGAGAGCCACAGTTAGTGATGAACCGAGTGATACACTGCCTTTATGATCCAAACTACACATGGCACACAAGGGGTTAGCAAGAACTGGTAGATTAAAACCAGGCTGAGTCATCATTTTCTTTTGCCCACAAATACAGTAGTTCATCACTGCACACTGCAACAGAGTGAACATCTGCTTTTTCATGAAAGGGATGATCAATCAAATCTGAAATATCAAACAAATTCCCACTTGACTCAATTTATAAAATGGTGCTTATCAGAGGGAGAGGGGATTCCCTTATTTAGACATAAAACACACCTTACACATCTTACCTACGTATGTGCCAAAGGTTCAGAGCAAGCTGACCTAGCTTTGAAGCCAGCCCTGCCTGGAGCAGGAGGTTGGATGAGGTGACTTGCAGAGGCCCTTTCCACCATAAAGCCTTCTGCAGCTCCTGTCTTGTGGACTTCACGTAGGCTCTCACCCCACTCCTACTCCTTGCAATGCCTAATGCCTGCTGAATTCCGCAGCGCACACTCAGACTCTCACAGTTTAGTTAACACTTGGCCAGGCACACTGGCTTTGGCTTCTACTTCATCGTGCCCCGAACTCCTGCCTCCTGCATCACCTTGGGGCTGCGGTGGGAGGAAGGACTGGGGTTCTAGGCACCAGCAGGCATCAGAATTCAAATAAACAAGGAGACACTGTGCTGACTGTGGAGTTCACTGAAGTGACACATTGGAAAGATCAACAGCAGTCGCAGTTCTGCAGGAAATGCTACTGAAGCATGCCCACCTCAGCTAGCCCAGTCAGCATGCGCTCCAGAAGACATGGTTCTCGTAACCCAGGCAAGGTTCAACTCCTTTGGCATGCAACTGATACTTTAGTTTATGGGACCACTGAAGGACAGTGGGAGAATGTTTCGGTTTCCCACTGTCCTTCAGTGGGAGA